CCCAAGGTCTTTGAAGTGACATCACTTCTTGTCTCTCCTTCATACCCTTTACTTTTCACTATAGAAGTATATTTTGTTTAATTTGGTAGATATAGAGACCGTGATAGAGTTTTATGTTTCCCCTACTCTTAATTTACATATATGGAGGGTAGATGTATATACATGTTACATATATGCCTATGTTATATAATACATATATGTCACATATATATTTTATGTTTTTTAAAATCGAAGTCGACGACCATTTTACTTCTGTAGCTCTTTATTAACATTTCCACCTGATGGCCAGACATACAGACAGGAAAAAATTACCTTGACAAACTTGGCAAATTCGACGGTCTTTTCTAACTTAAGATCTCGAACCTTGCCATTTTGAGAGCTACAAGAGTGAATGTATTCACAAGTAACATTTATATAGCGCTTTACAATCTATAAAAGTCTTTTACGGTGAATTGATCTTGTTGATCATGCAGCATGACCTCATCTCCATGGAACAAAAGTGGCTCCCATTGTTTAGGCCCCAGTTCATGTCAGGTTAATACACACACCAAGCTTCACCTACTTCAGTTCACATTTTTCTTCTTCAGCATCTGCCCAGGAATAGGTGCTAATAAATCGATGTAATGAGGGACGGTGTTCACTCTGCTTTGACCCCAAAATACGCCTAAATAAAGATGATTATAACCACTTGTCAAATCATATACATCCTTAGCCATTATCAATTTATTTGCTACTGTTTAAATCAGTATAAAAATTATGTTCTAATTAATTTTTTCTTGGCATATTTGGACCTACTTCATAATAAATTCATGATCATATACCAATTTATACAATTATTCATTCTACTTATACTCTGTACAAATCAAATGTTACTATATCACTTATTTCAAATACTCATTTACTTTAGCCCAACTATAAAATAGTAAGGTTCCCAAAGAGCAACCATAAAATTATACTTACCAACTGCTTGACCTCCTACTGAATTGGTCATTATTTTCCATCCCAGCCACCTTTAGAAGTTCAGGTGTTAAAGAAATGATAAAAAATGAATTTAGTGAAGTTTATATTTTTGCCATATGAAAATGAATTTACTTTTGACTAAGAAATCTTAGGAATTTTCTTACCATTCCTACATTTCCAATATTTCTGGGTAAAGAGGCAATGGTCACTCTTCGAAGAGAAGATGGCTACCGGAGGAGGAAAATGTACATTTAGAAAATTCTTAATATATTATTGTTGCAAGCAACACTGATGAATATCCTTGTACATGCGCATCCATGCATTTGACCACTGCTGAGTTTAATAACAGACATACTTTAAAGGATCTTGTTATGGTCAAACTGACTTCCAGAAATATTTTGCCAATTTATATTCCACCTTCTCTAACGTTGGATTATTACTATACAATTTATGCCAATCAAACAAAAATATAAGATTTCTTGTTTGAGTTTGCATTTATATGACTTCTAATAACACTAAACATTGCATTTTTATGTTAAATAACCATGTATATATGCTCTGAAAACCACTTGTTTATAACCTTTGCCTATATTAATTTTGTTCATATTTCTGGCAGAAAGATTTTTTTATTGTTGATCCAGGTAAATCTATTCTTGTCTTTTTCCCTTTTGCTACCATTGCTTTTATGCTTAGAAAGATTTCTCCCAACTCATGAGGATATAGTTACCTACATTTATAGTTGTTTTCCATGGTTTCGTTTTTTGCATTTAACACATTAAAGATTTTCATATTTTAATGAATGGATGTGTTCACATATCAGCCTTGAGAGATGCACAGGAAAGTGTTATGTATGATTATGTGGTTCTTAAAGTTTAAATAAGTACAACTTTGGGATATAAAAATACTTTAAATGTAGTAAATAAACTAATTTAAATGTGTTCTATGTGAAACCTTTTTTTGAACCATCATCACTAATTTAATTAGGTTAAATAGGTTAGTTGAGAATCAAGAATATCACATTGCAGCCCAAGAAACCTGGTGTCTCGTCATGGTAATACCAGCACATGATCATAACTAATCACCT